CTCCGAACAGTTGCAAAATCTTCCAGCAACATCCAGGGGTCACAAAGAGGTGGTGTTTGGTCCCTAAGTGAGTGGATAATGGGCGCCCCTAACCTCCAATAGGCACCCCTTTGTGACTCTTGGATCATTCACTTAAGTCTCCCAAACTCTTGGGGCAACTGGTGGTCCTTCGAGGGTGAAATACTTGAGATGAAGCGGTGCCGCAAGCAAGACCCTCTTGAGATCCTTGGGGAAACTTCCATGAAACTGGTATGGGCATGGGGAGTCGCAATGTATCCCTATGACTTTGTATTTGGAGAAGCACTACTAATAGTATCACCAGGATAGTGCAAAGTTAGCTCGTCCTGCCGTAGTTTTTCGAAAAAATGGTCTCAATATTGACAGAAAGGCGACTCTGAACCAGGCAGCATGTATTTGGGGGTAACCCTGGAGTCACCAAGCGCCCCCTTCTACACAACATCGCCAGCTGTCCGCCTGAGGCGAAGTCGACCCGTCAAAACCCGGTTCTTCCAGCGCTTTGGGAAGTTACAGTATTCTATTTCTTGGTAAGTATGCAATTGCTTTTGGCCTGTGTATGAATATGTGTGCACACCTGCTTTTGGTAAGTGACGTAGAGAACACCCTTCACTGAAGTCCAAGTGTCCCATGGCGAGGGTCGCACTTCACCATCATCGACGCCGGCTCGAAGACGGACATGGTGATCTCCGCCACTGAGAGCTGCTCATGGTAGGCCTTCTCGGCACTGATCACCGGCGCATAGGAGGTCAACATGAAGTGGATCCTCAGGTGGGAAAGGGAACACAAAACCAACGCGAACCCAGACGAAACCTCATTGGAGACAAAGGGTGCAGTACATCATGGTTTGCAAACGTCATCGCTTGAGACAAAAGGCCTGAGGGGACCTAAAGCATATCTTTTGATACTCTCTAATATGTGCCACAAGGTGCTGATCTACAATACGAAGATGTTGCACGAATTCGCGTTCTAATTCATGTATCCCTCCTACACCAACTCAGAGGAAACACATTAACAAACAATTCAACCATCGTTTCCGTTAGCCTCTGCAAAAGCCGGCATCGTTCTGGGTTCATTCAATGTCAATAACCGGAAAAGTGTCCTGTCTCATGAATTCACGTTGCACCTGCATGGTCTGAATGCTAATGAAAAAAAACATTAAACATTGCAAATTATAAAGCCAAAAAAACCTGGGGTAGGGCACCAAATTGGTCTGGAACTCAGTGATGTCCACGTTCAAGGCTCCATCAAAGCGGAGGGAGGCCTGGACTGGTCAAATGGTTTGCAGCGCAAAAAAGCATCACTTCTGACCGCAAACGTGCTTCATCTGACCCAGGGACCGTCAACGAAGAGATGATCTGCGCAATCAACCTGTTCAGGTTGGTGTAGGTTGGACGCTCAATGTCCAGATTGCGGCGACAAATGTCGTACAGCGCTTCGTTGTCGTACATGATCGTCACATCTGTGTGTTCAAGCAAAGAATGCACGCACAACCTGGAAATAGTTGGGAAAAGACATGCCAAGACCGCAGCCTAAGTCCCCACCCACACACACCAGCGACAACAAACCTGCAAACGCTACTAAACAGTTTTGGTCCATGAACACGGTGTTGTACGGTTCCACGACTGCTGTGGCGACTTGCGGGCAGCACCAGACCTTGGACGTCGCTTCGTGCATTGGGCCGCCATCCGGAACCCAAACTACAGCTCACGGCTTTCACATGCAACACAGCCATGCCCTTTTCGGCTGAGAAGCTGTGAAGGAGATCTTGCTCTTCTTGCCGTAGTCCACAGAAAGTCGCTCCAACATGAGGCAGCCAAGGCCGGAGCCAGTGCCACCACCGCAAGCATTGTAGACACAAAAACCTTGCAGACCTTAGGCACGCCACAATAGATTTTTTCAAGACCGAGTGCTCTTTGTGGTACCAACCGACTTGCCACCCGCCCCAACTTCTAGTTACAGTCACTGTTTTCGTCACCTATCCATAGCGGCTGACGCTTCAAGTACTAAAGCCGAAATGGAACAAGTTAGAGCGACCAATGACCGTTTCCAGGAGACACCACGGGGAGGTGGTCGGCCACGCTGCCTCCAAAAACTAGGAGAAACGACACGCGCCACTGATAAGCGCCAACTTCCTGCAATGGTTGCACTGAAACCTTGCAATCGCGCATCACAGCCAGAATGCCTTCACACCCGGCCTCCGCTGCGGGATCATGACGCCACCATCGCCCACCTCGATGGCACACTCCACAATTACCCAGATGAGCTCAAGCTTGTCAGTAGCCAATGCATCCTGGATGTCCTTCAACTTGGCCCGTCTCTGGCCATGGGTCTGGGCGTTCGAGGTATTGGGTGAGCGACTGAGCGACATGCTTTGCTGCAAGTTTGCTGCAAGGGCGCTCAGCGCGACGAAAGCATCCCAGGCAAGGCATTACAAAGCTTCATGCCCACAAAATTGTCAACAGGGCGCATGCAAACCGCTAACCCCTTGGCCTTGACAATCTGTGGATCTTCGAACTCCATCCCCGAATGCGAGCGTTTACTCGAACACCTAGCTTCTCCTCGGGCGACAAGCCACAGCGACGCCTTGAAGGCCCAAACGCATTATTAGATTAATGCCTTTGTGGGCATGACTTGCACGCTTCTACTTCTGAACGCAAGTGCAACCCTCATAGATGATCTGTAGAAAAGCCGTTGCTGCAGCGGGCACTATACCATCCGGCGAACTCATCAGCAAGCTGGAAGCTGCTCGGAAAACATCGGCTTTGCGGCCCCAAGGTTCATCAGGGTGGTATCACAAGCTCGTCATCTTCGCGCATGCCACCGCGCAGATCGAACATGCCCAGTGAACCTCGCCGAAGTGGATAAGGCTGAACAACATTGTCAAAGTGTCCAACCAGGAGGTCAATACAGGTCATCCCCTGTGCGCCATACGTGAAAGGCACCGTGCTCTCCACATCCAAGGGATGTTCATGCACTTTAGGTCATCCTGGCGGGCTCGACACAACCGTCGCGATCACACATCTTGGGTCCACAGGCCACACGAAGGTGTGATAATTTTTCAGGTTGGAGCGCCAGCAAATTCGGACCTAAGCACGAACCCTCTCAACAGGAAAACCGGCGTGTGGAAAAGCCACGGTGGTAATTTGCACAAAGACCGTTCCTTTCTAAGCCAAAGCAGCGGTAGAGGGAGCACTGTAGGCCACAGAATGCGACGAACTAAAACCCAAAGGCCAGCCTGATTGTTTAAAATTCGTTGGTACCGTTCTGGGCCTATGCAAGTGAGAACACGTCAAGGATGCGCAAAAACGGTTATGAGGGTAAGTACCTGGGCGAGCACTGTACTCGCCAAGGTGTCTTGCGCCAGCTGGGCGTAGCCATCCAGATGCTGAAGCGCAAATCCACATTCGCTTGCGGCAGCAGGCAAGCTTAGCGTTCACCTTTATCTTGTTGAAAAGGTAGGTTTCTTGCCCTGGCCGGGTGACGTTTGTTGGACAGTCCAGAGTCAAGGCCAACGCTGCGACTTCCATAGCGGAGCCCGCAAGCCCCGGACTGACAACTTGCTGAGATATTGCTGAAAAACCTTTCTTTCATGACAACATCGCCTTTAGGACGACATCCATTCATCTTTCTGGTCGACCAGCAGTAATGAGTTTGAGCAGCGCCAGGGTGCCGAGGAAGTCCAAGCCCAACGGCTTTGGCGACCCACACACTCAGCGACGTTGGCCTTCCACCTTTATTTCAACTTTCAATCCGCATCTGTCGAAGGTCATCTTGGAACAAAGCAGTTGTTTCTTGTTGCAAAGTGTCAGCACAAAATTCTGCGTTCCAGAGAGCAATGTCTCGAAGCGACTGCACTTGGGGAGACAACTGGCGCCCTCTGTCCACAACCATCTTTCTCAAGTGATCGTTAGTTGGCTCACGGCCAAGCCGCACGACCTGACGAAGCAAACAACGGAGCCAACGTATAGCACCGGTTCGTTGGAATCTGCAACAATGGATTGGGGTTGTCTAATACGAGATGCCACAATGCAGATCGCAAAACGCCCGCAGACCGGCCGCGCAATGCTTTTTCAGCTATTCCTGACAAGAAAGCCCAACAGGCATCACCGTCACCAAGAAGCGAACTTCTCAGTGTTCATGCCAGCCTAGCTCAAGGCTTGAGAGATGGACCAAAACAAACAATCACCATTGCCAGGATTTGCAAGTTCGGTCAATCCAGTAGGGATGCCAGGAGAAGCATGTCTGTGCTTCTTTGACGGTTGCTTGTTTTCAGGGGAAGCACTTGGTGCTCTCTTGGCAGCAGACTGAATGTCTTCGCTACCTTCCGTATATATAGATCAGGAAGATCAAGGTCTGATTCGGCACCTGCATCAGTGTCAGCAACTTTGTCTTCCTCGTACCAATTAAGGAGGATTGGTCTGAAGAGTACCAAGAAGTGACCGGACTCCATCTTCAGACCAATCCTCCTCAAAGACGCGCAGCAGCTGTTCGTCCGAAGCTGTCAAGCGAAGCCGTGCGCGACTGACGTCCCAACATTGGTAAAATTATCAAACTGATATGCAACAACAATATCATGATCAGCCAGCTGCCTGGCTGCAAAAGAGCTACGCCCAAAGTCAGGTTGCGGTTTTCTTCCGAAACCAAACCGATGATTCGGAAACCAAGCATGATTCGGAAACCAAAGAAACATTATTGCTCGGAAACCAAAATGATGATTCGGAAACCAAAACGATTATTCGGAAACCAAATATTATTCAGAAACCAAAAAGGAACTATTCTGACACCAACGATTATTCGGAAACCAAAATGAATATTCGGAAACCAAGCACAACGACGAAACCAAGCTGACATGTCCGCTGGCATTTGGTCCCGGTCGTTGTTTTGCATGGTCTCAAAAACGTTTCTACACTCTACACCAGCCTCATCCCACCACTCAACCTACTGTGGTTCAGAACCCAGCTGCCATCTGCCACGAATATCACACCCCACCACCCCTCCCAACCTACTGTGATTCAGAACCCAACTGCCCTTGCCTTGCACGGTCACTATACATCTGCCAGGAACGTTATTGCCCAGCCCCATACCACCCCGCCCAACCTACTGTGATTCAGAACCCAACTACATCTGCCAGGAACGTGATTGCCCCAGCCCCGTCCCACCACCCCACCCAACCTACTGTGATTCAGTATCCAGCTGCCATCTCCCAGGAACGTTATTACCCCAGCCCCATCCCACCACCCCACCCAACCTACTGTGATTCAGTATCCAGCTGACATCTTGCAGGAACGTTTTTGCCCCAGCCCCATCTCACCCCACCCAACCTACTGTGATTCAGTATTCAGGGCCATCTCCAGGAACGTTATTACCAGCCCCATCCCACCACCCCACCTAACCTACGCTGATTCAGTACCAGCTGCCATCTCTCAGGAACGTTATTACCCCAGCCCCAAACCACCACCCCACCTAACCTACTGTGAAGTTGGTTGCTGAATCATTGGTTTTTGGTTGCTGAATCACGGAATGTTGGTTTCTGAAGCGCGGAATTGTGGTTTCTGAAGCGCGAAATTTTAGTTTCTGAAGCGCTGCAAGTTTGGTTTCTGAATCGCGGTTTTGGTTTCTGAATCGCGCACTTGTGGTTTATCTGAATCGCGGATTTTTGGTTTCTGAATCGGACTCTTTTTCCAAAGTCAACACAACGATGTCCCCCAGGCCGCGTTGAGCACGGCAACCCCTGGAAGTCATAGTTCAGCGCGTGCGCGGGGCCACAACTCAACGGGCAAATCACCGGCACAACCTCCGACTCCACCGTAGTGTTGAAATCGCCCAACAACACCCAGGGCCCAGGGCAAACCCACCGAATGCAAAAAGGAAAGGCTCGCCAAAATCAAACGATCACGAGCCTCATGATCGGACGCATGGCCATAAATAGAGCCAACCAAAAGTTTCAGGGCACGACCGGCTGATTCATGCCCCATCAACGAATTCACCTCAACGCAGCCCAAAGCCAATCTGCGAGAAGCAGAAATTTCTTTAGGACGAACAGGACGGAAAGGCAAAGCAGAGAGTAAAGCTCCAATCGGTGACGCCACCCTCGTGGACATAGCCAAAGACAACCTCAAACCCTTGAAAGCGCCAGAAGTCCCTGGGCGCGAGTTCAACTCAACGCCAGTCTCTTGGAGAACAATACAAGAGATATTAGAAGCGCGTGCAATATCCAGGATGGCTGCAACCTTCGCCGCAGCTGCTGGCACATTCAACGTGGCCACCTGCATCTTGAGCTCGACAAAGACTCACCCAAAATTGCCCGCAGCACAACGGACCGCAACTGCTGAAGCCCAACCTTGGAGAATGAGTCTGGGACATCTTCCGCTTCTTTCTGTTGGCGGGGTCAGTGCTTGCTTTGAGCACTCTCAGCCTCTGAGCCCGAACCCTCTTCTGGCCGAAGGACTTTCATGTTCTCTGGCTTCAATATAGCAACAGGAGTCGTGATGAAAAGGCAAAAGTTTATGCTTTCCCCATCAATGCGATGTTCCGCACACCGCGATGGTACAGTCATTATTATATAAATTCCACTCCACACGAGGCACATCTTTACTGTCGCGACACTTGGCATGAAAGGTCCATCAATTTTCTCGGCGCCGCCGAAACATTTCGAGTGGTTCAAAGTTGTCAGAACTGGCCTTCCAGACCCAAGATCATGACTACAAGCTCGAAGACCTGGCTTGTCGGACTCCAACTTGTTTATCACTTAATGGTGCTTTTTTGCTCCAGGGAAGCATGGCCGCGAATCCCTTGGATCTCAGTCAGGAGGCTCAAGCTACCATCGACAGGACTTCCCTCTTGGCCACTGGCACACAGCAGGATGGTGACAGTCGCATCCACCGGCACGTGGCGGTTGGGCCTGCCAATGTCACCAACTTGTCGTACGTTACACAGCTTTGGCGTTACGGGCCCGGACTTCGCTGACATAAGGAGAAAGTTATCAACCAACGCCTTTGCTGGTGCAAACGACTATTCCAGGCCAGGTGAAAGCGGACTTACAGGCATTGCAATGGACTGACATAGTCTCAGCAAGGCCCCTACTCAGACTCGGACGTGTCAAAATCAGGCAAGAGCGCTTGCCGACCCCAGAGAAGTCAAGTAGACTTCTGAAAAGGCTACCACCATCACACATATGATGTAAACGCTGGATTGGAGCGCCTCAGTCGCATTCAAACACCCACCACTACCTGGAAAGTGGCACTCTTGGTGGACATGACAAAGCATGCACCTACATATCTACTCTACATATATGAAAGCAAAGGCCTCCCTGTGTGGCATTGGAAAGCTTGCAGCTGTGAACCATGGTGCTGCAAGCTTGAGCCCCGAGAAAGCACATTAGGGGATTGTCTCACTCTCATACACCATCAGGCCTCAAAGGCTTTAGCCACGCGCTAGCACTCGGCCAACAACATTGCAGTCCAACAAGTGTTGACATTGGCTTATCATATTTTATCTCATGTCTGGATAGGTGACGAAAACAACGCGCTATTGCAGGTTCCAGCATTAGGAGTCGCTTCATGGACTAAGGTCCAAAAGTTCAAACCAAGACATCGATACAGTTGTTCCAGAAGCCACACGACCATAAAGGACCATCAATGCCGTCATACTGTTGATTGACAAAATCCTGCACCACTTTGTGCACAGTTTTCTTGCTGCCCTCGTTCTCCCTCGTTAACATTGGGGCCACCACAGTGAGAAAACACAAACAAGTTGAAGGTCCAAAATCCTGCACCACCTCCTCAGAGGGTTCGCGCCAACATTGAACGAGGGGGCGCGGGGGTTGCTATGCGACCCTTCCAGGGTAAAGTGGTGAGGTGGTGCAGGATTTTGTCCATCAACAGTAGGTCCCAAACCAGTGATATGCGTTACATCCGCAAGATTGGAAGAACATGTTCTGTGGGATCAAGATCAAGTACAGTAAAGAAACCGGTGCAGTTGTCAGCCAACTTCCTGATCCTGTCCAAGACCAGGTCGACAATCTCCTTCCCGATGGTGTAATGCCCACGTGCAAAGTTGTTGGCGGCATCTTCTTTTCCGGAGATCAGCTGCTCAGGGTGGAACAGCTGGCGGTAGGTGCCAGTGCGGACCTCGTCGACGACAGTTGGCTCGAGGTCAACCATGACCTTGGCTGGCCAGTTCCAGTTCCCCAAAGTTGTTTTATCATCTTGGGGTTCTGATTAGGCCTAGATTTCATGGACGAAGAACTTTAAAACCAACAGGTGAAAGAGTAAAGGAGGAAAAATTAAAAGACATTCCATATTCCCAATCATAGTTGAAAGGCCGGAACCAACAGCGCGACAAAACTTAAACGCGCACAGTAGGCCCTAGGCCCTAAGCCCGAGCTGCACATCGCGGGACATGCTTGCCCGCGCCCGTCTCTGAGAAGAACCTGCCCGGTGCATCGGGCTCCCGCCGAGTACAATTCAGAGGTTTGGAGATGGCCATCTGATGAACAGGTTTGGAGGAGGTTCGGAGAAGGTTCGGAAGAGGTTTGTTAACTTTCTGTGAACAATTTCTTCACAATTGAGATGGCCATCAGGAGAAATCAGGACCCAATTGGTCTGGAGATGGCCACCCATCTTCACATGACACAATTTCTTGTTCACTTTCTTTTGCCACAAGAAACCTCCTGTTCCAGAACACTGGCAGCTCCAAACAACAGCAAGGGGCCGGGGGGGTAATCTTTTTGTGGGGGAATCCCTGATCCATCAAAGGCCCAACAGTTTAGGAGGCTGCAGATTGGCAAAGAGCAACAAGGAATCTGCGGAATCCTTTTCCCAAAGCACTGGGGGGTGGGCAGGAGGGAGTTTTCGGGGTGCAAAGCCCAGGAACGTGTTGAAGGCATCATCACCACCGCCAATGGTCTTGTCGCTTGGCATCTGACCATCCGGCTGGATACCATGCTCAAGGCAGAAGAGCTCCCAGCAAGCATTGCCGATTTGGACACCACCCTGACCTCAGATGAAACCAGATCTAGGTTGACATGTCAAAGAAGGTTCATTGATGTAACATGAACACTATTAATGGCCACAGTAACATGAATGGCTTTGAACGTTGATATAGTTAAATTTGATATAATGACATTGACATAACAGGGAACCCTATTTGGATGAACATTCAAAATTACGCTCTTCTGCTGTTATTCCCTCCAAATGCCCTTTCTTGAGTCATACCCATGTCACGAGAGATCATGAGAGTGCTATTGAATCTCCTTTCTAGCCAAAGGGCCAATGTGGATGCAGATGGCCTCACGCATGGCTTAGACGGGTTTGAAGCACAAAGACGGGAAAGCGCGAAGAAGCGAAGAGGTTGCGGAAAGTGCCGTTCAGCGCACCGCGTGATGTGGCAGCCTTGGACACAAATCCTCGAGCACAAACAGTTGCAGATCATATGCACCTGAATAGACAGACGAAGCTTTCTGGCGGCTTTGATCTAGTTCTGTCAAGTCAAAAAGGATACCAACAAACGCAGAGCTGCTAGCTTAGCAGGTCAACAAAGGATGTTTCCTCTGAAGGCTGAAGCACCAACGAGATGCCACAAATAGTGCACCAGGAAACCTCTTCCAGATTCATCCAGTGACATGGTCCACCAGATGTCATCCCTGCCCGTGAAACAACATGTCCTAGCGCTCCCTCCCGGCTCCCTTTCTCCACGGCCGTTCGCACGCGGAGAAAACATCCGTTCGCTCGTGGATGCGGATGCCGTTGGACCGGTGGATGAAACAAAGCAGACAGAGGACCAACAGGAGGTGGGGCAAGAAGAAAATCCCCAATTCACTGATAGGCGAACCGAATTCTTTTGGAATAGAGAAAAGGAACTATAACACCATCCGATCCCCTTTTCTGTGATGTCCCTCATCCACACCTCATCCACACCTCGTGACACCTGCACCTGCTCGATCCGCCCTACTTCAGCTTCATCGACCTCGGTCGCTCATTGCACCGACCTCGGTCGGGTCTCCGGTCTGCGGTCAGCTGAGAAAGACGGCACTGAACGATTGTGCTGGGCGGCGCCCAGAAGAGCACCCGATTCCAGTGCAACTGAAGGAGCAGTGAAGATAGAAGGAAGACTGAAACTGCAAGTAGGTAGCCTTTTTCTGTGGCGTTTCGACCAAACGCCTTCAATTGTGCATCTCCCCTTGGAAAAAGCCCCGGAACGTTGGGTGTAGAATTCCTCCTTTTCAGTGCCTCCCAAGTCGAGAATGGACTCCGCAGGAGCTTGGTCTACTCGAGTCAGATAGAGGGAGATGTGGAGAATCCAGGGTAGTTTTGCAGGGTCAACACAAGTTAAGTCGGTCACTGAGGCTGTCAGCTCAAGTCGGGTCAAGTCAGGGTACCCTGGGCTGTGAAAGAAGGAGCTAAGAAGGTCATCTCACAAAGCTTATCCGACAAGGTGGTTCAACCAGTTTGACGGCAACTGAACTACGTCGTTCAACCAAGGGACATTGGAAACACGTTGGGAAAATGGAAAACACATGCAAGAAAACACCAGATTTCCTCCATGCTGAAGGTCCCTGGTCAAGGTCCCGCCTTGTTCACACCATGTAAAGATTGCCGATTCCTGGGGTTCTGTGCTCCATATTACTCCCCGTGCGGTGGGCCGTGCGTGAGGTCGAAAAGGTCCGTCCCAGGAGCTCGCTGATGCACCAAGAGGGCAGCCCCAAGGCAAACAGGAAGGAAGCACTGATAGAGATCCTGAGGCGCTTTGCAAGGGACACACAGAATGACTCCTTTCAAAAAATGAAAACGGCCGGAGGTCTTCAAATGTTCATGTTCATCAGATGCAGGTCATTTGATCGAAAAAATGTATAAAATCAAAAGAAAACGCAGGTGCTCAAATGGAGGACGGACTGCTTGGGGGGGGGTCTTCCTTTTGGGGTGTGGCGCACGACCTTCGCTTCACCTTCGCATGGTCTGGTGCGCCGGAAGCCGAGTCGCATGGTGCCCACCACGAAGAGCAGGTCTGGGGCGAAGTCCCGAAGAAGCAGCGAGGACCTGGTGGTCTTGAAGACTGGTCCGGTGGGACGACGTGAAAGAGAGCCCCAAGAGTGTTCGAAGGAAGAAACCAACAAGGGAGGGCCTGCCCTCGCAATCACAAACGAAAACATATAGTCACCCATTGACCCATTGAGCGGTCTATATCCCACTACCGGTACGAGTGGATGATGATGGTTCAGTTGCAGGCGCCCACATCTCAAGGTCGACATCTCAGAACGGAGAAGCTTTGAACCCGACGGCTATACTGTTATTGGGACACATTGATCATTGACGATTTTCACTGCAGATGGGGTCCCACAGCTCAGATCGTCTCTGATGGGATCGTTTTTGAGGTGAAAACCGATTTCGTAGAGGAAAGTGGCCCAATCCATGCTTAGCTTGCATTACTGAAAGTCGTCTTCCAAGGGATCATGCCATCCACTTCCATGTCAGTGAGTCAGAGTGTACTTTCACTTACTTTAATCATCTTCAATTGAAGAACCTGTTTGATGCGTCGTTGTTGGCCACCAACAGGCGAAAGAAGAACTGGGAAGCCCGGGAACTGGCTGCATATGCGGCTCACGGTCACCACTCGAATCCTGCTAGACCTAAACTGCGAGGCTGGATGATGGTCATACAGACCTCAACTACTTGGAAGAGTGAGTGAAATGACCTGCGGGTACCTCATTGTCGGCCATAGACACCATAGAGGTTTCCCCATTCCCCCAGCCCACATGATGCAGGTCTTCAAACATGATGCAAATGACTTCTTCCAAGCCACATGATGCAGGTGAGAATGATCGACAACGCAGTGCTGAAGCATCCATGGGTGGCGCCAGCATACTTTAACATCACCGCACACAGCAAGCCACCAAAGGCGTTCATGCCGATGACCAAGAAGACACGGATGTTGTAGCCTCCAAAGCAGAAGACATGATCTTCAATATCTTCAATGGGTTGCAAAGCCAGAAGGAAACCCTGACGCATCACCCATGTTTCATGCTGGCAGAGAAGTCCCCACGAGAAAGAAACGAAAACCCGTCAAACAATGTCAAACATAGTCAAACAGTGAACGTTCACGACCAGGTCATAGAGCCAGGAGGTTCTCATGTAGACTCTGTAGACTCTTGATGAATAACCCCCCCCCACATGGTGGAACTGAACCTCCAGTTGAAGTATCATCAATTACACAGCCTCCCGCAAACGGGGTTTTTCATCAGATGCGCCCCACTGCCTTCCCACCATTCCAGCCAGCAGCAAACCAGGCAGAACACATGGTCGGTTTCGTGCAGCTCCCCCCTCTCCAGGCGAAGGCAAAATCATCTTGGTTCAAGGGTTCATGCATGTTCATGCCATCCACGATGCGCCATGTGGTGTTTATCGGAGTGTACCTCCAGTGTCATCAGTAGATGCCCCATGCCCCCCGTGATAACCGGCCCAACCTGCATGGAAACCGCGCAAGGAGATCACCTCCCCATCCTGCGCCACCTGTTTGGTCCCCGTCCGCAGATGTGGGTCCATCAGGTTGGGCAAAGAGGTTGCGAAGAGAAACACAAAGAGGAAACCTGAAGCATTTAATTTGACTCGTCAACACGAATCTCTTAAACTCCTTGTGCTTATGTGCAGCATGCGAATGCGCTTGAACACGAAAAAGAATCATGTCCATCTGCCATCAACCACAGCTACTGCGAGGAAAAATGCGCACGAAGAAGTCGGCACATCGTGCAGTTTCAGCCACCCCCCAGTTGGCCTGGAACTGGAAGCCTCCCAAAGAAAATGTCACTCTCCCACACCAATGGATGGAAGGTAGGACACAACTTGCTTCATCTCCCTGATCAACTGCTGACTTCTACGAGTTTGCACTGCCCCCAAACGGCCAGGCTGCCAACCCTGATTGGCTACAATGCCACCCTCTGCACTGACTCAACACCGGCACACAAACCAGGCTGTGCCACCCCAGGGCTTCGCGGGTTTTGGGTGATGTCTCTATAACCATTCCAATCCCAATCCCGATCCACCTGGTTTTTCGTTTGCTCCACTCCCTCCACTCCCTGCACTCCAAGGCGCAGCCACCATGATGCTGGTGCAGGAGCCGAAGAGGCCCAGTTGCACGTTCCGCATCCAAATCTCGGACACCGGCCACCGCCGAAAGACACCGACACCGACACAACCGGTCGCCTATGAAAGAAGGACCGGCGAAGCGTGTCGACCGAGGATTATGATCGATCCGAAGGTCGACTGACCTGCGAAATGTCCTCTGCATGGAAGACTATCCTTTTGAAACTGTTCGCTGCTATCTAAGTTCAGCATACACCATGCCGACAATGTCTTCTTCTTGTCAAAAGGACAAGGCGTGGGCTGAACAGCTGCAATTGAATATGCTCATACTCTCTCAGCGCAACAATTGCGCCACTTCAAACTGGCTATTGCATGCTGCAAGCATCAAGGCAGTTCTCCCAACCTGCCGGGCCCGCATTCTTGTCAGCTCCAGCCTCGAGCAACAATCGCACCACTTCCAAGCAGCCATTCTGAGCTGCACCCATCAAGGCTGT